CCACAGAAGGTTGCAGATGTAATTATAGTTAGCCTTCCATATTCCCAAGCCCTACATCTGTTGATTCAACCAATCATAGATTGAAAACATTCAGAAAAAATATTGCATTCATACCCAAAGTGTGTAGACTTTTTCTTGTCATTATTCGCTTAACTAATACAGTATGACAACTAGTTGCGTGGCATTTACATCGTATCAGATATCATAAATAATAGAGAGATGACTTAAGGTATAGGTATTATGTGGGTTATATACAAATACTACTCCATTTTACATAAGGAACCTCCCAGTATCCACTTGGGGACTTGTAACCAATCTACCTCAGATAGTATAGAGATGGCTGTAGTTATAATGAGATTATACTGGAGTAGTAGAGGCCCCTAATTCAGTATGACTGATGTCCTTTTTAAAATATGGATTTATACATTTTTATGTATTTATTTGAAAGTCAGAGTTAGAGAGAGAGGGAAAGAGAGAGAGAGTGAGAGATCTACCACCCACTAGTTCACTTCCCAAATGGCCACAATGGTTGGGGCTCGGTCACACCAAAGCCAGCAGCCTGGAATTCCATTCTGGTCTCACACATGAGTGGCAGGGGCCCATGTATGTACTTGGTCCATCCTCCGCTGCTTTCCCAGGAGCATTAGTGGAGAACTGGATCAGAAGCAGAGCAGCCAGGACTCAAACCAGCACCCATGTGGGATGCCAGTGTCACAGGCCACAGTTTAACTAGCTGCACACCAACGCCAGCCCCCATGACTGGGTTACTTATAAGAAGATGGCTACATAAATACAGAGACACATGAGATTTCCACGTAGCAACAAAGGCAGAGACTAGAGTTTTCAGGTTGAAAGCCAAGGGACACCAAAGACCTCTGTCAAACCACCAGAAGCTGGGCAGAGGCAAGAAAATACTCTTTTATAGGTTCCAGAAGGCATAGAACTTTCAACTCTTGGATTTTAAACTTCTATACTCCATAACTGAATAAATCTCTGTCATTTTAAGCCACACAGGGGGTCTGTGCTGTGGCATAGCGGGTGCCAACATCCCATATGGGCGCCGGTTCGAGTCCCGGATGCTCCACTCCTGGTCCAGCTCTCTGCTATGGCCTGGGAAAGCAGTAGAAGATGGCCCAAGTCCTTAGGACCCTGCACCCATGTGGGAGACCAGGAAGAAGTTCCTGGCTCCTGGCCAGGATGGGCACAGCTCCGGCTGCTGCGGCCAATTGGGGAGCAAACCAGTGGATGGAAGACACCCCTCCACCTCTCCTTCTCTCTCTGTACAACTCTGACTTTCAAATAAATAAATAAATATTAAATAAAATAAGCCACACAGTTGTGGTATTTTTTAAAGCAGCTCTAGGAAACTAATACAGATGCTAGAATTGGGAAATGGTATACTGCTCTAACAAATACTTAAAAATGTGGAAACAGCTTTGCAATTGGGTATTGAATAGAGGCTGGAAGAATCTTGAGGTTCATGACAGAAGAAGCTTTAATTGCCTGGAAGAGAGTGTTTCTTGAAATATAAAGGTTAAAGGTGTTTTTGGTATGGCCCCAACCGAAATGAGGACCAAGTTATTGGACATTAGAAGGAAGGTGATCTTTGTTATAAAGTGGCGGAGGTTTTGGTTGAATTGTCTTCTATTGTTGGAAAAATTTGGACGTTGTAAGAGATTATCTTGGATATTTAGTTAAGTAAATTGACAAGCAAAGTGTTGAACACCTTTCTGCTTATAGCCAGATGAGAAAGAAAAATAAAACAAGGACTGAATTGCTAAGCAAACAGGAATCAGAATTTGAAGACTTGAAATATTCTCAGCCTAAAATCACTCCAGAAGAGAACACTAAAACTGTGACTCAGACAACCTTTGGTAGAGATTACAAGTGTGACTTATGGGACCAATCAACCATCTACCAGAATCTAGGAATCAGATGCAGTTAATCTGGTAAAGATAATTGAAAACCTCTCTATGTTGATGGCTTGTATGTCCATGAACTTTCAGAGAGGCCAACAAAGTTTTTCAGAATCTTATACCTCAGAAACACTACCAAGTTGGACTGAAAGGATCAGAGAGGGACAAAATGAAGGAAGAATGACTGGGAGAGCCATAGATTCAGACAGCTGTGCCCCCGGACCTCCTTTGGGCCAGTACCCAAGCCTGATGGAGCAAAGCTGATGTCCGGGGTTAAGAAGGTAGTTCTGCTATTTTGGGTCAAGACATACAGGTCACCGTCTCCTTTCTGGAGACGAGGGCAGCCTCCTAGGTTCCAGAGGGCCACCACCAGAGTTCCAGAGGGTAAGGCTGCTGCCCAGGCCTGAGAGGGCAGGGCTACCATTCATGGATGAGGAGGCGGGGCCATATTAGTGTTTCAGCAGAGAGAGCTTCTGGCCAGGGCTGACAGAGTGGGGCTGCCATGCAAGGCTGAAGGGACAGGGTTGTTACCAAATTCTAGGAGGTGGGACTGTTGCCTAGGCCTCAGAAGGGGCGGGACCTCTGTCCATGGCCCAGGAGAAGGGATCACCATCCAAGAATGAGGGTCAGGGCCTGCACCCAAAGCAAGGCAGGGGTCAGGCTGCCTCCTCAGTTGCAGAGGGTGGGACAGCTGCCCAGTTTAAGGGGGAAGGGCCAGCAGGAAAGGCCACCAATCAGGGCCCATGGGACAGGCTGAATCCTGGGTTAGAGAGGAAAGGATAGCCTCCTGAGTCCCAGATGGTAGGACTCCCTTTCTTCTACAGGCAGAACCACTGCCCAGGATTAAGAGAGCCAGTTCAGCAACTCATTGACAGAGGGCGGGGCATTTCCTGAGTTCCAGAGAACCAGGCGGTTGTCCTGTCCTGAGAGAGTGGTGGGACCTCTGCTTGGGAAACAGTGTTGCTCTCCATAGACAAGGGGGCAGGGACAGGGTTAGGAGGTCAGGCTGTCTCTTTTCAGAGGGTGGGACAACCACCTAGGGCCCAGTAGATAGAGAAACAGAATTATTCTGAAGCCTTAAAATCTAATAGAATTTTGGCTGGCGCCGTGGCTCAATAGGCTAATCCTCTGCCTGCAGCGCCGGCACCCCGGGTTCTAGTCCCGGTCGGGGCGCCGGATTCTGTCCCAGTTGCCCCTCTTCCAGTCCAGCTCTCTGCTGTGGCCCGGGAAGTCAGTAGAGGATGGCCCAAGTGCTTGGGCCCTGCACCCGCATAGGAGACCAAGGGAAGCACCTGGCTCCAGGCTTTGGATCAGCACAGTACGCCAGCCGCAGCGGCCATTGTGGGGTGAACCAACGGAAAAGGAAGACCTTTCTCTCTGTCTCTCTCTCTCTCTCACTGTCCACTCTGCCTGTAAAAAAATAATCTAATAGAATTTTGCCTTCTGTGTCACAAACTTCCTTGTGATAGCTAAGGTGATAAATGACAGCTTGTTTCCTTCCAATTTCTCCCTTTGCCCGTCCTTCCATTGTGTCTTGGTAACTGATAACTTCCTTTCTAGGTTCTACAGCTGGAGAGGAATTTTGACTTAGGGACCATATTCCAAGTTTCTCCCATAACTGAATTAGATGAAATTTTTAGATTTAGAGTTGATGTTGGAACGGGTAGATTTTTGGGAATGCTGGAATAGGTGAATGTACTTTGCAGGGAGGAAGGACATTGGTTGGCAGGGGACATGGAGAGAACAGACTATTATGGGTTGCATCATGTCTGCCAGAAAAGGGTATGTTGAAGTCCTCCTCTGTAGTATCTCAGAATGTGACCTTAGTTGGAAATAAGATCATTGCAGATGGAATCAGTTAAAATGATGTCATACTACAGTAGAGTGTGCCCCTCATGTAATATGACTGGTGCCCTTTGAAGAAGACAGTCAGTGAAGACAGAGACATACAGTAAGGATTCCATCAGAGAATGAAGACAGAAGTTGGGGTTACACATTTCCAAACCAATAAACACAAAAACATTGATGATAAATCACCAGAAAGAAGGAAAGGGCAAAAGAAGAACTCCCCTGCAGGTTTCAGGAGGGGAAGGGCCCTTCCAACACTTTAATTTCAGCCTCCAAGACTGTGAGACAATAAATTGCTGTTATTTTCTGCCATTCAGTTTGTGGCACTTACTTCAGCAGTCCTAGGACACTAGCAGTGGTTCTAACACCCCATGCTGCCCCGCATATTGATAACTCCCTCACCCCACTCATACTCTGAATGCCATGCTAGAGCACCTTCTCTTGTAAACACCCTCATTGACCTGCTTGGGTTCTGACATCACATACTGTGCGGTCCATAAACCTGGACACCTTCCTCTTTCATCTTGGGTTCTGATTCTTTTCACCAAACCAACCACTGTAGGGAGCAACCTTTTCACTCTCCTCAGGCCCTGAGTAAACTCCAGGCTGCCTTCCCCTGTGGCTCCCCTTCTTGCCCCAACTGAGCACCTGCATGCAGAGCTGCCTCTATGCATAGACACCTATGCTCTACCTATTGACTTCAGCCCTCACTTGTTCTAGAAGAGATGGCAAGGGACAAAAAGGAAGAGGGTAGGGGAAGGGATAAGAAAAGACCCAAATGTGGTTTCAAGAAATAAAACCTGAAAATGAAGTAAAAATCTCCTTCCTATCCCTTCATGATCTTATTTACCTCCTTTTCTTTGTAGGGGTATGACTATCCTGAATATATTTTCTTCTTTTCCATGCGAGATTTTCTACTAACACTGTTACATAAATTATTGCTATGCTCTGGATATGGATTAAGTGTGTTACCTGGGGGTCATGTGTTGAAAGCCTGGTCCTCAGTGGGGGCAATATTAAGAGGTGGTGGAACCTTTAAGAGGTGGAGCCTACTGTGAAGTCTTTGGGAGTGTGCCCTCCCAAAGGGACCTCCGAGTTAATTATTGAGATTGAATTGTTCCAAAAGCCTGAACCTGACCTCCTCAAAATCACTCTCTGGCTTCCTGTCCTGCCATGTGCTATCTCCCTATCACATACACTCCTGCCACATGATGCCATTCCCTGTGGGGTTCTTACCAGAGTAGAATCATTGCTGATGCCAGTGCCATATCCTTGAACCTCCAGAACTGCAGGAAAAATAAACATTTTTTATTAGAAGTTACCCAGCTTCATCTATTTCATTACAATAGATGAAAACATACTAATTCATTGATTATTCATAAACATGATTTAATCTTCAAATAAATTATAACATTCTGCAGCTTTGATGGGTATACCAGTCCATTTTCTGTTTCTATAACAAAATTCTTGAGGTCAGGTGCTTTAAAAAAATAGTTAGCTAGTTCACAGTTTTGGAAGCTATAAGTCCAAGATCAAGTGGTCCATCTATTCAGCCTCTGGTGAGCATCTTCTGGAGGATGACATCATGGCAGGAGCATGTGTAAGACGAAGACATCAGATGATGATGATGATGATGACGACGACGACGATGACAGAGAGAGAGGTTGACTAAGTTTTGAATGTATTTCAAAGACAGATAGATAAACCAAGATCTTTTATCCACTGATTACTTGCCCAAATGCCCACAGCACATAGGGAAGAGACAGGCTAAAGCCAGGAGCCAGGAACTCAGCCCAGGTCTCCCACATGGGTGGTAGGGACCCAACTACTTGAGTAATTGTGTGCTGTCTCCCAGGGTCTGCATTAGCAGGAAGCTGGAATCAACAGTGAAACCACGACTAGAATCTAGGCACATCCATATGGGATACATCCCAACTGGCATCTTGACTATAGGCCAAATGCCTGCCCCTGAAGTGCAACTCTGGTAGAAAGAATTTAGTTGTTCACATTTTAACTGATTCTTTCAATATCTTCATATTATTGGGTTTATGCCATTTACATTTAAAACAATTACTGATATGCTAGGGCTTAATTCTACCACTTTATTATTTTATTATTTATTATTTATTATTGCTCATTTCATCTTTTTCTAATTCCTCTGTTTCATTTTCTTGCCTTCCTGTAGGTTAGTGAACATCTGGAGAAGTCCATCTGAATTTATTTATGTTTTGAATATATCACTTTATATAATTTTCTTAACAGTTGCTGTAGAAATTATAAAACACATGTATAACTTATCACAATCTACTAGTATTAATATTTTACCATTTTGAGTAAAGTGTAGAAAACTTAATTCAAATCATGTTCTTTTTTAAAGATTTACTTATTCATTTGAAAGGCAGAGTTGGAGAAAAGGAGAGACAGAGAGACAGTGATCTTCCATCTGCTGGTTCAGTCCCCAAATATCCACAATGGCTTAGGCTGGATCAGGCCGAAGCCAGGACCTGGAACTCCATCCAGGTCTCCCTTGTAGGTGCAGGGGCCCAAGGACTTGGGCCATCTTCTGCTGCTTTGCCAGGAACAAAACAGGAAGCTGTATTGGAAATGGGGCAGCTGGGGCTCAAACCTGTGCTTATATTAGAACAGCTTAACTTGCTGTGCCACAGATTGGCCCCCATTTATGTTCTTTATTATTCCTGAATTTAAAAATAGTTATATGAAATATTTGCTTTACATAATTAACCTTTACATTTCCTTTATGTAATATCAGATGTTATAATTTTTACTTTCATCATCAAATGTATTTAACATACTCATGAAAGTAAGGTAGTCTGTTATATTTATCATCATTTTAAACTATTCTGATGTGTTTTTTCTCTGAAGTTCTAAGCCTTCTTCTGTTACATATTTTCTATTTAGAGACCTTCCTTAAGCCATTTTTAAAGGATCTGTCTGCTAGCAATAAATTTTGTTTTCTCTCTTCTGAGTATGTATTTTTTCTTCATTCATGAAAGAAATTTTCTCTAGGTATACAAATCACAGTTGAAAACTCCTTTCTTGGGACCGCCGTTGTGACATAGCAGATAAAGCCATCGCTTGTGACACTGGCATGCATATGGGTGCCAGTTCGAGTCCTAGTTGCTCCATTTCCCATCCAGCTCTCTGCTAACAGCTTGAGAAAACAGAAGATGGTCCAAGTGCTTGGGCCCCTGCTACCCACATGGGAGACTCAGGGTCCTGGCTTCAGCCTGGCCAAGCCCTGGCTGTTGTAATCATTTAGGGAGTGAACCAGTGGATGAAAAATCAATCTCTCTCTCTCTCTCTTTTTCTAACTCTACCTTTCAAATAAATAAATCGTTAAAACAAAAACCTCCTTTCTGGGGCCAGTGCTGTGGCGGAGTGGGTAAAACCTCTGCCTGCAGTGCTGGCATCCCATATGGGTGCCGGTTCGAGTCCCAGCTGCTCCTCTTCTGATCCAGCTCTCTGATATGGCCCGGAAGAGCAGAAGATGGCCCAAGTGCGTGGGCCCCTGCACCTGAGTGGGAGACCCGGAGGAAGCTCCTGGCTCCTGGCTTTGGCTTGGCACAGCTCTGGCTGTTGCGGCCATCTCGGGAGTGAACCAGCAGATTGAAGACCTCTCTCTCTCTCTCTGCCTCTCCTCTCTCTGTTTACCTCTTTCAAATAAATAAATAAATCTTAAAAAAAAAAAAAACTCCTTTCTTTCAGTACTTGAAAAATGCTATGTGCCTTTTTCTTCTGGCTCCATTGTTTCTGATGAGAAATACTGTCATTCAAATTGTATTCTGTAAATAACGTTTCATTTCTCTCTGGCCACTTTCAAAAAAAGCTTTTTCTTGTCACTAGTTTTCAGAAGTTTAATTATGATGTGCCTGGAGACAAAGTACAAACGCCAGAAATGTCAGGTGCAGTCTCAGTGCATGGTATATTTTTAGTCTAGTAACTCTTTGGCTGTAATGTCTGCACGTTACTGTTATATAAAGTCCAGCACACGTCTAGCACAGAACAGACACTCAGTAAATAGTTTGATGAAAGAAAGAGACAGGGAAAGAAAGGAAATAAAGAAGGGAAGAAGGAAGAGAGGAAAAGGAGAGGAGGGCAAGGGAGGGGAAGATTCCAAGTCAGAAAGCAGACAAGGAAGACAATGAACCCTTAAAAAACCAGTGTCCAAAGTGGGACAATTACTTCTGAGCGTTTGGCCAGAAATCATATCTCCTTCGGGACCAGGAAGAATTAACGGAATTATAGCCAACTACTCATTAATAAAACCTGACACATTCCGGTTTAGGTTCAGTGAGGAGTGTTGGTTTCATATCTATAACCGACCTTTTCAATTACTTTCTCCACAAAGACGCAGTGAAGCTGAGCGTCTTGAGTTGTGCGCATGCGCGGCTGGGAAGGCCGCGACGATCGTCCCCTCCCGCCCACCGTAGCTTACGTCCATTGAGCGCGCCGCCCACTGGGGGCGACATCCATTAGAGCAGCGCGCACCACCCGCGAGTATGACGTTCATCGATGCGACACACGATGCGAGCGTGACGCTCATTGGGCGACGTCCATTAGAGCAGCCCGCCCAACCCGTGAGCTCATAGGGGCGGCGACCTTTTGAGGATCGCCCTTTGACGACGTAAGCGCTACATTGCGGAACTGGCTTTGTTGGGGGGCGTGGCCTAGAGGACGCGTTACCCTGGCGACCACCTTGTGGGCGGCTCAGAACTGATCTGAGCGTTGAGTGTGAAGGCAGCTGAGGGCGGTCGGCTACCCCAGCCGCCAGCCCCTTGGGGGCTGACGGTGGCTATGGAACTGTACCTCAGCAACTGCTGCAAGACTGCGGAAGCCGCCGCCAATAAGGTGGCCGCTAGTAGCCTAAATGAAGAAAAGGAGCAGTGTAGCATCCGAGGCGGCCCCGTGAGTCCGTCCTCCTCTTCCTGTCCCCAGGGCGGGCCCAGGGCAGGGGAGGGAGGGGAATGGGGCGGGTCCTTGGCCAGAGGCGAGGCTGGTGACCTGGGGAAGCAGAGAGGCCCTCCCGGGGAGAAAAATCTTTCGGTTTATTTGGAGATATTAGCCCATCGAAGTGTGATTAGATTGTTCTAAATTAAATGAGTAGTTTCTAGAAGAAAAGACAAGCTTCTTAATTGTATCCAACAGGCCTTGCAGAGAAACCTGTTCCCAGAGGTCGGAGCATGTAACTTGTTGGATCTGCCTCTTGGGGTCAAGTTGCCCATTATTCCTGGAAGTCATAATGTGTTCTACACTACAGATATAAGTGAGAAGGTAAATTCGTCTTTAATAATGCTTACGTGATTTTCTTTACCCTTTCCAGCTTAATGTTGAACTGATGATTTTGCTTTGTGTCTGCTTCAGTGTTACACACCCATCGTAGTTAAATGAGTCGAAATGCTTAAGTTTATCTCCAGCTCAGAGCCTTAGCTCTGACAGGCCACAGCCCCTTTTTGCCTACCCGCACACAGCATAATGATTCCTACTTGGTGCCTTTGTCCATCCAGTTCACTCCCCGAACCTAGAATGTGCTGTCCCCACTTTCCCGACAATCAAGAGTGACCTCTGTGTTCAGGAATGGGACTAAAGTTGAGTATACAAACACACTGGACAGAGTTCACATCTTGGGGTTCCACAGGCCACTTCCAGCCTAAAGACAGGTCTGGGAGAGAGAGGATGAGAAAAGCAGTAGGTTTACTCACATTAGTACACGAGGTGTACTCTGTTTCTTTAGATTCTGCATGCATGTTTTATTTGCAATGAGTATCCTAATCACTTCAGTAAATTGATGTTTAAAAGTGTGTGCTTATTTATTCTACATTTGTAACACTTTTGAATCTTTCTTTGCAGCTTTATCAACCTTCTTATGATTTTAACCTGACTGATCCTTACTGCCGACTTTTGGAGACTAGCTATAAAAGTCTACATGATCCACATTTAAAAACATACTATAAGCGAAAAGATGTCCTGAGGAGATTAAAGAAAGGTGGCTACATCACCAGCAATAATAAAGTGTGTTGAAGTCTACTTCCTGTTAACCAGCACAAACCTAGAGGCTTGACTGACACTTGCTTCTGTAATTCCCTGGGAGCCTGTGTCGACTTTTAGTTGAGCAATAGAGGATATTTTATAAAAAGCCAACAAATTACTCAGTATTTGGGTCCGGGAAATCAGGAGACTGTTTTTGCGTTGTTGGTTTTTTTCCCTAAATAAAATTATTCGTCCCTACTTGCCTTTTTTTTTTTTTTTTTTTTTTGACAGGCAGAGTGGACAGTGAGAGAGAGACAGAGAGAAAGGTCTTCCTTTTCCGTTAGTTCACCCCCCAGTGGCCGCTGCGGCCAGCGCTCTGTGGCCGGCGCACCGCGCTGATCCGAAGCCAGGAGCCAGGTGCTTATCCTGGTCTCCCATTGGGTGCAGGGCCCAAGGACTTGGGCCATCCTCCACTGCACTCCTAGGCCACAGCAGAGAGCTAGACTGGAAGAGGAGCAACTGGGACTAGAACCCGGTGTGCCAGCACCACAGGCAGAGGATTAGCCTATTGAGCCATGGCGCCGGCCCCCTACTTGCCTTTTCCCTTTAGTAATAGCAAAATACATAAACATACACATTTATTTATGTACTTCTTTTCCCCCAGGTACATTGTAGTGCCTCACCCCGAGTCTAAAAGTAATAATGGCAAAAAGTCTAAAAGTCTAATCACTTCAATAAATTGATGTCTAAAATCAATTTTAAACACTTTTAAAACACTTTTAGTGATTTAAAAAAAAAGTCTAAAAGTAATATATGTGTCAAGGACTGCATTACATACCTTTTAGGAACTAAAACAAAATGGGAAGCTAGTAAAATACAGCTTGATAGAATAAGTTCTTTGGAGGGGGGATTAAACATTATGTTGGTGTTATAATAGCAAATTAATTGGGAATGGTAAGTTTTTCATTATATCATGAACCACATTAATAAAATAATAGTATTTAGCTAGAAATCTCCTGGTGACACAGCAAATGTATAGAGATACTACTTTCACAGTTGTTACCAAAATGCAATACTATTACACTTGATCAACCAGGATTGTAATTAAAATAAATGTTATTACTCTCTTCTCTGGAAAGTGTTATAATTGTTAAAACTTTGAAATTATATTTTTGGGATTCTTCTAGGTAATTTGTTCCTTGAAGGAAATGAATAAGTACAGGGAGTATCTGACCAGTTTAAAATTAGACTTTGAAAGAAAATATATCAGAGAACAGGTAAGTTAAATAATTGAATTTGGAGCCCGTAAGAAAATTTTTATGTAAATTTGGTCCAATTCAGGAAATTTTCTTATAGTGTTCTTATGTAAAAGTATTAAGATAACAAAAAAGATCTCTAGGGGGCCCACACTTGTGGCTTAGTAGCCTAAGCTGCCTGTGGCTCCAGCATCCCATATGGGCAAGGGTTCGTGTCCTGGCTGCTCCACATCTGATCCAGCTCTCTGCTAATGGCCTGGGAAAGCAGTATAAGATGGCCCAAGTACCTGGGCCTCTGCACCCACGTGGGAGACCTGGAAGAAGCTCCTGGCTTTGGATCTGCGCAGCTCTGGCCGTTGCTGCCATTTGGAGACTGAACCAGTGGATGGAAGATTCTCTCCTCCCCCTCCCCCTCCCCCTCCCCTCCCCCTCCTCCTCCCCCTCTCCCTCCTCTGAAACTACCTTTCAAATAAATAAGTAAAATTTTTTAAAAAATGTCTCTGTAAGAGATCTATAGAAGATAAAATGGAGACATTTGCTTTTCATTCACAGAGAAAATTTGGAATAGAGCCACACTAGACTTAAATACAGTTGACAGAATTAGCCGTTTGCAAAACACAGAACATTCACTAAGCCAGAAATATAGGAAGACATATCAAAGGACAGGTTTACTTTTGGAAAATATAAAAGCTTTCTCTGTTTTCTTTCAGAAAATGATTGAAAAACAAGTACATAAATTGTATGAAAGCAAGAGAGCCTATGATAGCTGTGAGGCTGCTCTATTCCAAGAATGGCTGTTACAAGAAGATACACAAACAACCCCAGAACAGGAGCAATTACTAAAACACAGGTACAATCAAAGTGAATGCATACTTCATGAACATACTGTGGGTCCCCAAAAGTTGTAAAAACACTAGAAAGAACTGGAAGCAGGCAGAACAGAAATGATAGACACTATTTAACCCCCATGAGATTAGGAACCTTGGTACCAAGGCTAGGGAAGGGAGTTTCAGCCTGATAAATCAGAGCCACTGGGAGCCCAAGAGGTAAACCAACCTGATGTTTGAAGAAGCAATCTGATAGTCTGCAGTGTTCTTCTTAGATGAGAAGTTGTTCAGGGATTTGCAAATTACAGAAGGACCAGGACCCACTTACTTGTAAAGGAAATTAAAATATCCTGATTCTTTGAGATTGGCCTTCAGTTCATTCTGGCCATCTTTGGAAATTTGTGTTCCCAAACTACTGAGTTATGAATAATTTCTATGTAAAATGGCTTTCTGAATCATTATGTTCCACATTTTGCTATTATCCCAGCTACAATGACAGAGAGTTATATAATGGAGATTAGTAAAACAAGTACAGCATAGTGAGCTGATAGGTCAAACTAGCTGAAAAGTCCTTGAATAACTAAATTTCCTGTAGTTCAAGAAATAAACCACCAAGCAGGTAGTTTGGGAGTATCAAAGTAGGTCATGCCATCTTAAGAGAAACATGTAATTTACCTTCACTTATATTTGCACTTTATATAGATATGCGGATATGATTCATAGGGAATTACACAAGGCTCAACACACAGCTGAAAAGCGGAATGCAGTCTGTACGAAGGAACAGAAAAGTCAACATCAGGACCACATAAGAAGAAAACTTGATCTCCGTAAACAAATTGAAGATGTGAGCACCACCAAATTTTAAATATTAGAAGGAAATTGTGTATGACTGTTTTATTTGTAAGCATTTTAGCATGCTTAGCTGCAATTATGTCAGGTCTACAGAATAAGCCCCTTTTAATCTTTCATTTCTATTACAACTGAGACTGATACCACAAATTATATATTCACTATATTACACTCACATCTCTTCTGCCCTTTAAAATTCTAGCACTATTGAGAAATAATCATGCCTGCATTTTCACTCTCCAAATTCAGATAAGGTTAGTTTCTCTGTCAAAATACATAAGGCATACCTCCTGAGTCCAGAAGAAGAAACCCTCTTGGCTGGTATCCTTTTAGATCCCTCACTGGGGCCAGGTTAATGCTTGAAGTAAGCTTCTAAAAGCAAAGCAGTTTCTTTGCATTTTCCTTCTGATTGCATCTACCCATACATTCCCAATAAAAAATTAAGATCAGTGCATTCTAAAGCCAATGCAAGATTATCACTATTTGTGACCCAATTTCTATTAGGCCATTGATTTGATCTAATTTACTATTAGATTATTGATGGTAAGTAGAAAAAATACAAAAAAAAAAAAAAAAAACTAAGCAAGAACCCATGTTGAGTACTGTATACTTTGCTCTTTAGAAATGGAAAACAAAAGAAATGTTACTTTTGTCAAAGATTGGAGAAGAAGTAAGAAGAGAAGCAAGAATTGAAGAACAGCGTCAGAAAATTAGGGAAGAAATTGATCGGAAGGTAGAATGAGATTTTACCAATGATGTAGACTTTGATAAAAGGCTTTTGCCATTTTTAATATTTTAAAGGGAGAATTTTCAAAAGTGGGCTACACTCAGAAAGATAGCTACTTATGGAGAGACCCAATCTGGCCTAAACCTATACTCAAAGGGCTGGCCAGAAATGGGACCAGTTCCAGGAAGTGGGCAATGAGTTAAATTGGATCTAGTCAGTTATTAAAAGATACTCTTCATGCTAAGCCACAACAGAAAGCTTATCCCTTATACCTGTCTAGTTTTATATTCATTGTGACTTTAGAATTCTCAAGATAGGAAGACAGGCTGACTTCAAATACATCATCACATTTGACATATGTATTTTGCCTTTCCAGTGTCAAGTTGATAACATTTTTAAATGTATTAAATATATTTTTATTATCTTAGAAAAAAGCACTTCTGGAGAAAAAAATCGCTCATCATTTACAAAAAATGCAAAGACATGACCTTAAAAGAGGACGAGAAGGAAGTCTATTTTCAGGCAAAGGACAAGATGAAACAGAAGGTGAGAGAGGGAGACAATAAAGACAAAGTAGAAAATGCATACTTAAACATTGAATATTGGTGTCTATAAAAAAAAACCTCTGCTTATACAATGAGGTCAAAGGCCCTTGCAAAGGTAAGTCATATAACCTCATGCTACCTGTTCCAGCTATTGTGGAAGATATTTCCTGGTCACAGCTCTATTGTAAGTACTATATATACACACACACACACATACACACTCATGTATGTATATACAGTATATGTAGAACAGATAAGCTGTCCAGTAGACAAGATTTCCTGTACTGCAGCTTTAAAGAGGAGTCACTAGGAAGAGACAGCACACACACAAAAACAGATAAGATAGGAAGAAAAGAGGCGGCAGAGATAGAGAAATAAGCTGAGGGAAAAAGAAGTTTGAAAGGAGGAACCAGTAAGAAAATAAAATTATAAAATTGAAAGGAAAGAAAGAAATGTTTGACAAAAGGAGCCAGTAAAAGGGAAAAATAGACTGAAAAAAAAGGAGACAAAGAGAAATATGGTTTTTAAAAAGGGATTTGTTTATTTATTTTAAAGGCAGAGTTACAGAGAGGCAGAGAGATAGAGAGAGGTCTTCCATCTGCTGGTTCACTCCCCAAATGGTCACAATGGCTGAAGCTGGGCCGATCCAAAGCCAGGAGCCAGGAGCTCCAGGTCTCCCACACAGGTAAAGGGGCCTAAGCACTTGGGCCACCTTCCACTGCTTTCCCATGCCATATCAGAGAGCTGGATCAGAAGTGAAGGTGGGAGGGTGGTTATGGGGGGGGGGAGCCACTATAATCCAAAAGTTGTACTTTAGAAATTTATATTTATTAAATAAAAGTTAAAAAAAAGTGAAGCAGCCAGGACTTAAACCAGCGTTCATATGATGGAATGCCGGCTCTGTGGCTTTACCCACTATACCAGAGTGCCAGCCCTGAGAAATATGTTTTATAAAAGAAAATTTTTATGTTGAAGAACAAGCAAGCAAAGATTATACTAACGTGTATGTAGAGAGGGTAAGCTAGTGAAAGAGAAAAAGGTTTTTTAAAGGGATATAAAAATGAAGACATTTTAAAATATACAAAGCAAGAAATAGAAAAAGTAAGAACAACAGTGGTGAAGAGGAGGCAGTAAGAAAAGATGATACATGACTGGAGCATAGGGAGATTACTGATGCCATAGACAGGAGTGTCAATTGGTAAAGTCAACAACAGGAGTCACTGTGCACTTACTCCTCATGTAGGATCTCTATCCTTAATGTGCTGTGCATTGAGATTTAATGCTATAACGAGTACTCAAACAATATATTTCACTTTGTGTTTCTATGGGGGTGCAAACTGTTGAAATCCTTACTTAATGCATACTAAACTGATCCTCTGTAAAAAAAAAAAAAAAGAAATTATCAATTCCCAACTTGACTCTCACTGGGATTAAACATGACAATAGGTCTGCTCTGATTTCATCATCATTTAAAAAAAAATCATCTATTATTTTTCACTTTATGTTTCTGTGTGGGAGCAAACTGTTGAAATCCATACTTAATGTATACTAAGCTGATCTTCTGTATATTAAGATAATCGAAAATGAATCTTGATGTGAATGGAAGGGGAGAGGGAGTGGGAAAGGGGAGGGTTGTGGGTGGGAAGGACGGTATGTGGGGGAAGCCATTGTAATCCATAAATCGTACTTTGGAAATTTATATTCATTAAATAAAAGTTTAAAAAAAAAAAGAAAAGATGATACAAAAAGAGTGAAACAGAAAGAAAAAGGGAGAGAGAATAAAGAAAGAGTTAAAAGGAAATTAAATGGAAGAAGCCAGTGGGAAAACAAATTCTGGATGAGGGAGTTGGGGCAGGGCAAGATAAGGGCAAAAAAAGAAATAAGAGACAGGGGATTGGTGGGAAGGAGAAAGGCAGCCAAGCAAAGAAAGAACGATAGTGAAAGAAAGGAAGGCATGCAGAAAAAAAAAAAAAATGAAACGGGGAGGGAGGGAGCAGGAGCAAAGGGAGAGAAGGTGATAGGGGAAAGTTTATTTTAATTTTTGCAGCAGGAAAAGGTAAAATAAAGGAAACAATAAGAGTGGGTGAGAATTTGAAAAAGAGGAGCCAGTTAGAAAATGAACTACAGTTTGGGGAATGGGAAATGGGAATTATATAAAGATTTGAGGTAATCAGGTAAAACAAAATTACCTTAACTTTAAAAAAATTATTCAACCAGGATCAGTAGGATAAAAATGGGACCTTTAAAAAAGGGAGGAA